TGCCCTGTTTAGTCCAACACATCTCAGCGCCTCTGCTGGGGGCGAGAGACAGCCGTGAACAAGCCAGATGTGGGCCTGATGAGGGCCTCGGAGAGATCCTAGCCGGTGGGGGAAACAGCTGTTACACAAACTGCACTGGGAATGCTGGCTTCTGAATTATCAAAGGGAAGTGGGATGGGCCGTCTGCTTTAAACTTGAGCTCCCTGAGGGCAGGGGCTGTGTCTCCCCTTCACCCTGGAGCTGCCTCCGGTCGGGGCACTGTTTTCGCTGTAAGGCTGGAGGCTCCCTGAGAGAGGCTCTGCTTCTTGTTGGCGCTGGGGCTGTGGTCTGGCAGCCAGGCGCCTGGCCGCTCCCCACACCTCCCAGGAGGCCTGGAGCAGAGGGAGCGAGCGGGTCATGTCCTGCAACGTTCTCCAGCCACCCACCGCTTGCTGGTGAGCCCATAGCTCCCAAGGTGGCAGGGCCACCCCTCTATCTGAGAAGGGCCCCTCCAGGTGTGACCAGGCCAGGGGAGGGTCAGCTCCCCACAGGGGGTCTCCGCAGGGGCTCGCTGCCCTCCCCAGCTCCACCCTTACCCGCCTGTTCTCCCCCAACTGTAAGCTCACTCAGCAGCCCATGTCAAGGGAGACTGCTAAACGGGGCCAGGCAGGCACTGGGCTGAAGCCAAAGGCCTACACTCATCCTCAGGAGGGGCTTGAGGGCAGGACCAGGGTGGAAGAAGACCCACGAGAGGCTGCCAGAACAGGGAGGGTCTAGAGCCGGGAGACAGAGCCTCTGCCCTCAATTCCCATGGGCCTTGGGCAAGGCCCTTCCAGCCTGTTTACCCACGAGGTGATGGGCCTTCACTTTTTTTTTTTTAAACTTTTAAAAATTCCAACAGGAACAATGCATCTTGGAAAACTGCAAGATTAGGAGACCTCCTATGAGAGCCCCAGGAAGCCCAATGAGAGGAAATGCTCTAGAGCATGGGGGAGGTTTGAGGCTGACACTGAGGAAGACTTCCTGGGAGGAAGGGGCTTGAGCCCCTGGACAAGCCCGGGGTCACTGCTGTCCGGGGCTCCAGCTGCCTGGGCAGTGGGAGGGACCTGTGACCAAAGCAGTGTCAGGAGTTACCTCTGCCCTTGTCTCTGGGATAGCAGGACTTTGTCCTGGTCAGGCTGGATGACCGTTCCTGGCCCTCATGGGATCTGACTTTTGACCTTTGGCTTAATCATAGAGCAAGGTTGTTTGTCCAGTCACCCCACACCATTAAGATTGTGCGGAGCCCAGTGCTGGCTCTGAGCACAGCGGGCAGTCTGTCTGAGGGGGTAGACACAGCCTCTGCCCTCAGGAGCCCAGTGGAGGGGCAGTTAGCTCTCCCCCAGGAAAGAGACCTGTCACGGGGACAAATGACCTGGGAGTCAGGCGAGCCCCTCACCAGTCCTCTAGGGGCAGCTGGAGCCTGAACTGCATGTGAATCTGAAACTAGATCAGGGAAGCAGAGCTGGCAGCATGCCCGGCAGTGATAGCAGTGTTTTGGGGAGCTGGTGGGGGTGCAGAAACACCCATGAGTCCCCCTGCCCCTGGCCGTCTGCAGACAAGCCCTTGGGTGGAAGGCAAGAGGGTTGGGTGGGAGACTGTGTGCACATTGTGGGCAGATGTTCAGGCCTGGGAGAGGGGCATGCTGGCCTCTCAGTCCTCCGTGCTGGTGAGCGTGCTGCACGCAGAGGATGCACGAGGCATCGGTGAGGGTGTGAGGTGCAGGTGTGTGCACTGCTGGTGCAACACGTGTGGGTGAGCCAGGATGCAGCCCACAAGGGGGGCAGGGAAGTGGGGCCAATGTCTGCCCCATGAGGTCGTGCTGGATAATCTGTCCCCTGCTCCCTGGACCCCAAGGCCCCTGCACACAGGGAGGGGTCAGCAGACGTCTGTGCAGGCCTCCCCAGCTCCATCAGTCTGTGCTCTGAGCACCCGCACCAGGGAAGCCCCAGGAGCCCTGCCCGCCCACTGCCAGGCCTTCTGTCTCCCCTTGATCCCTCGTCTTGGCGCCCCAACAACTGTGCCTGACCAGCAAATGCAGACTGAACCAGCTGTCACTGTGACATCCATTCTCCTCGGTGGGCCTGGGCGCTCCCACCCAGCTCCCCTAGGTTCTCTCACCCGTCTCCCTCCCTGCTATACCCACATCTGGGAATTAGGCAGGGTGACACCTAAAAGCCTCCAGTGGCCATGGAATCTCATGGGGTTCTGAGCCTTAATCCATGAGCTGGGAGAGACCAAGGTAACAAGAAGTTCTGCTCCCAGCACCCTCAGAGCCCCACTTTCTCTGCCCCAGGGCTCTGGGAGGATTCCTAAGGCACCAGCCCAGAACAGGAAAAAACCTTCTTATTTGCATATCACTTTCATCTGATTTGCAAGTGTCTCCTGGTTTGGCCATTTCTAAGCAACCCTAGAATTTGGATTTCACAGGATGCTGAGCCGTTACTAGGAGCTTGCTTCTCTCCATCTCCCATGACCCAGGTGCCTCCTAAAGGACAGTCACATGAGCGTCCCTGCAAATAATCCACCTGCCAATGCAGGAGATGCAGGTTTGATCCCTGGGTCGGGAAGATCCCCTGGAAAAGGAAATGGCAGCCCACTTCAGTATTCTTGCCTAGGAAATCCCATGGACAGAAGAGCCTAGTGGGCTATAGTCATGGGATTGCAAAGAGTCGGACACAACTTAGGGACTGAAACAACATCAAAGGACAGTCACATGCACAGAACTCTCCCTCCACTCAGCTGCCCTTGTACACAAGCAGAAGAGTATGCCAGCCTCCACCTACATGCAAAACATGCGGCGTCCTGGGTCCCAGCCCTGTGCCTCCTCACCCTTGGCCCATGGAATATATACTGAATATACACTCTCAAGTGCAACTGCACACTTCTGTCTTCACATGCACTCAAAACTCACACACATTTGTCTACACACATGCTCCCACAGCTTCAGGGCACAAGCAAACACAACTCAGCTTCACATAGGAGTTGGGTGGGTTACACACAGTCTCTGTGCCCACCTGCCAGTGAGGTGCCCTAAGCAACAGATGCCACCCAGCCCCTGAGATGGCAGGACTGGCAAGGGCACTGCTGTGTGAGACAGGCTGGGAGGAGACAGCGCAGTTCAGGTGGCTATTTTTAGTGGTTTTACCACGAGCAGGTCCCTAGGATACACAGTCAATGTAGCATGCCTTTAGTCAGAGTTTTGTCTTCCCTGAAATATGGTTTCATTCTGCATTTTCTATATCACTTCTGGTCCCCCAACCCCAGGCCTCCTGCCCTTATTGGTCCCCAAACAGCTTCCTTGGGTGGCCCTGCCTTCTGACTTTATTCACCCTACTCCCTACCAAGAACACCTCTCTGCCTTCCTCCAACATGAACACTCAACACCTTCACTCGTGCCCTCCTCCTGGGTGGGCTTCCTTCCCTGTCCTCTCAGCACACTTCTATACACCCTTCAGGTCCCACATTGAACGTCACCTCTTGGGCGAATCCTTCTCCAGTCTTATCAGGCAGAAGTAATCTCGCTCCTCACGCTGTAAATCCAGAGGCAGAGCAGTGGGTAGAAAGACACAGTTGGCCCTGAATATGTGTGTAGAGGATGTTTAGGGGTTTGGAGTCTTTATTTGTAAGGAAGGGCAGGGGACTTTTCGGAAAAACATAATTACATGGTGAGTGTTTGGGTTTAAATTGTATTTTTTGTTTATTTTCGGTGGAAGAGCATAGGCACCAGAATCAGACAATGCTGCTTCTGCCATTTCTGCTGTGCACCTTTGGGTGAGTATTGTAGCCTCTCGGGCTTCAGTTTCCTTATCTGTAAAATAGGCTCATGGGGGGATTATGAGGACCCCTTTAGAGCTTAAATATTTAGGACCTAAATTCTCATTTCATTGAACACGGACTAATTTGGCTCAGAGGATTTTTGCTCACTTCTCTGTCTCCCCACTGGACTAGAAGTACCTTTACAGCAAGGGTTAAGTCTCCATCTACAAAATGGGGATAATAATAGGACAGACCTCATTTGCTTATTGATCTTGTTCAGTCACAAAGTCGTGTCCAACTCTTTGCAACCCCATGAACTGTAGCACTCCAGGCTTCCCTGTCTTTCACTGTCTTCCTTAGTTTGCTCACTCATGTCCATTGAGTCAGTGATGCCACCCAACCATCTCATTCTCTGTCACTCGCTTCTCCTCTTGCCCTTAATCTTTTCAGCATCAGGGTCTTTTCCAAAGAGTTGGCTCTTTGCATTAGGTGGCCAAAGTATTGGCGCTTCAGCTTCAGCAACAGTCCTTCCAATGAATATTCAGGGTTGATTTCCCTTAGGATTGACCGCTTTGATCTCCTTGCTGTCCAAGGGACTCTCAAGAGTCTTCTCCAGCACCACAGTTTGAAAGCATTAATTCTTTTGCACTCGGCCTTCTTTATGGTCCAGCTCTCATATCCATACATGACTATTGGAAAAACCATAGCTTTGACTAGATAGGCCTTTGGCAGCAAAGTGATGTCTCTGCTTTTTAATACGTTGTCCAGGTTTTTCATAGCTTTTCATCTGCTTATAGTGAGGATTAAACAAATCAATTCAAGCAATACACTTAGAAGAGTTTCCTGGCACTACTCAATATTTACTATTATAATTATTACTACATATCTGATTTAACTCCTACAACAATCTTGTGGTGTTGGAGATACTGGCTTTCCACTTTATAAGTGGAAAGTGGACTTAGAACATTTAGGGGCTTCCCAGGTGGCACTATTAGGGGCTTCCTTGCCAAGGTCACACAAGTATCAGAATCTAGATTTTAATCTGGATTTGGCAAAGTCTTAATCATGGGTCAGGATGTGACAGTTCTGGGCAGATAGATCAAATGTCCAGCCTAAGACTTCCTGATATAGCTTATTTGTATAAGTCCACGCCCCTTACTGTGTGGCCCATAGGCCTGTTTTTAATCTGGACTCAGCAACTGATGATAGCGTGGGGTCCAGGCTCAGAGAACCAGATACTCGAGTTCTGTGGACACTAGTGTGACCAGGGCTGTAGAGAGGAAGATCTGGTTGATAGGGAGGCTGTGATCCGCGGGGCACACCCAAAACCTCAGCTTCAGCAAACCGCTCAGGGTACGGCGATGCCGCAGCGCCCTCTGTCGGCCAGATGATGTGGCCGTCTAGAGCGCTGCGATGGTGAGGGGGAAAGAGACCGCTTGCAGGACTCTTGCTGTCGCTAAACCTTGTCCGACTCTTTGCGACCCCGTGGAGAGCTGCACACCAGGCTTCCCCATCCTTCACTATCTCCCCGAGTTTGCTCAAACCCATGTCCATTGAGTCAGTGATACCATCCAATCATCTCATCCTCCGTCACTCCCTTCTCCTGCCCTCAATCTTTCCCAGCATCAGGGTCTTTTCCAATGAGTCAGTCCTTCGCATCAGGTGGCCAAAGTATTGGAGCTTCAGCTTCAACATCAGTCCTTCCAATGAATATTCAGGACTGATTCCCTTTATGATTGACTGGTTGGATCTCCTTGCGGTCCAAGGGACCCTCAAGGACTCAGGCCCAATGCAAGTTTCCTAGGGCCCCAGGAGTCCATACCCACTGAAGTGGTCATCTGAGCTGGGAAAACTTTAGTGACTCCTGCATCAATCCCTATTTTGTTGCTGGGAAAACTGAAGCCAAGAGAAGGGAGATGATTGACCCCTAAAAGTGGCTGGGGCCAGGGACTGGATTATGAGGCTGGCTACATCCCAGTGGTGGTGTCATGGAATGACCTAGTCACCCCCACCAGTCAGGCTCCCCACCAACCACCCCAGTTCAACCTACATCCAGACAGCTCCAGATCTCCTAGCTCTGCCTCTTCCTTCCACCCCTTCTACCCAGTCCCCTCTTATAAGAATTCTAGAACCTCCTTGTCTTGTCACTCTGCCACCATATTCTCCAGTCCTCTTCAGCAACCCGTCTCAGGAGACTATCTGTGCTCTCTCAAAACCAATTTCTCATGTAAAACTTTCTGCTTTTTTCTTATCCCCCCCCCCCGAGGATATGAAAACTTTAATTTATTTCTTTTCTTTTTTTATTAACTTTATTGGATTTTCTTTTTAATGACAAACCACCATACACATGTTCTTTGTAACAGCTAAACAAACCAGAGGTATCTAAAGAAAAACTTGATAAACTCCTCCCTCCCTTTCCAGCCCACACCCCTGAGATCACTCACGTGGTTGAAGGAGCGTTGTCTTGCCTTATTGTTCTGAGGCTGTTCACTACACAGGTAGGAAGAATTGAAACCCACCATGTGCTGAGCCCTGTGCTAAGCCTGGGCTACGGGAAAACAAGACAACAACCACGATGCCCATTGCCCTCATGGGGCTTACATTCTAGTGAGGGGGGAGACAATAGACAGTGAAAATTTCAGATAGTGATGCAATCTCTGGGTGGGGGTTGGGGGGTAATGGGGTGATGGCCGGGAGTGATGGGTTCTGGGGCAGGGACCAGGCTAGTTTGGTTGGAACGTTTGAGTTGATGCCCAATAGAGGGCGCTGTAGACCACAGTCTGAATGTTATTCTAAGAGCACCAGAGAGCCACTGAGCATAGGAAGGGATTGCGCAGAGACCCCTTGGAAGAACGGATTGAGACTGAGCCAGTATGGCTGTCAGGAGACAGAGGGAGAGAGAGATATTTCTTCTTTCAGATATTCCTTCTTTTTATATAAAATGGGCTTAGACTATATACATTTGCTCTTCTCTTTTTCCTTCCAGTGCTTTAGTCAGAAAAAGGAATTCCAGTTCCAAAGGGACAGCAGTTCACACTCTGAGCAGCCAGTACCCCACAGGTGCCACAGCCCTGGTTGCTAATCAGTCTTTTAATTTTTCCAATCCAAAGGGTAAAAAATACATGACAGGGATTTGAACAACAAAATTAATAAAGTAGCATTGGATTACAACCCAAAGCATAAAATAAATATACACTAGTCCACAGTGGTTTTAATAAATGACTAAGTTAATGAATGGGGAAAGAAGAATTCCAAGTAAATGATGCTGTCAATTCATCCTAAAAGAGGGGCATATAGTCCCTCCCTCCTTAACTGTGGGCTGTACATAACGATATCCTTTTAAAGAGTAGAGCATGAAAAAATAAATAAATAAAAAGGAGAGCATGGAAGAGGCAGGCTAGGGAGTGAGGGATAACTACAAGGAAAAAGCTTCAACCAGGTAAGCCAGGTCAACATCAACTGTCATAAGGTACATTGACATTATTTGTTTCTGAGTCCAAATTGGCTCAGTCTGTTCACTGTACAACAGGCCAGTAAACCAATGAGTTGTTGGGGCAAGTAACAGCAACTTTACCTGGAAAGTCAGGAGACCAAGATGATGGACTAGTGTCCCAAAGAACTGTCTGGCCCAGGTATGGATACTAGTTCCTTTTATCGAACAGAGAAGGGAAGGTGAGGAGGTAAAATCAGGAATAAGTTGCTCCAAATAATTCCTGGTTCTAGCCAGACCCTGGAGAGGATGTGTTAATTTCTTCTTTCCATCAGCCAGTCACAGATAGACCTGGTCAGGATACTACCTGAGAACTAAACAAGGTATTTTAGCTTCATGCTCAGGCCTGGGAGGCAGGGTTCCCAGAGATGAGCCATTATGTATATTTTAAATTATAGGCAACACCTTTTTAGGGATTAACTTGTAGAAAAAACAATAGAATACAGAGATATAAAGTAAAAGAAAGAGATCCAATATGGAGTCAAATTTGTTCTCCCCTATTATATACGTGGGCTTACCCAGTGGCTCAGTGGTAAAGAATCTACCTGTCAATGCAGGAGACGTGGGTTCAGTCCCTGAATTGGGAAGATTCCCTGGAGAAGGAAATGGCACTCCACTCCAGTATTCTTGCCTGGGAAATCCCATGGACAAGGGAGCCTGGCAGGTAACAGTCCATAGGGTCTCAAAAGAGTTGGACACAAGTTAGCAACTAAACAATTACATATGTATCCTTGATATGATGTGATGAGAATGGCACTTCACTTCTGTGGTCAACCTCCCCAAAATGCATAGGCCCGGTCTATGAGAAAAAGATCAGACAAATTCCAGCAGAAGGGTATTCTACAAAAAAAAAAACCTGACCGTACTCCTCAATCTGTCAAGTCATCAAAAATAAGAACAGTCTGAGACTAAATGCAATGAGATATCCTGAATGGGATCCTGGCACAAAACATGGTAAAAACTAGGAAAATCTGAATACAAGTGTGGACTTTATTTAACAATAATATATCACTATAGGTGACTCAGATGATAAATAATCCACCTGCAAAGCAGGAGACCTGGGTTCAATCCTTGGGTTGGGAAGATTCCCTGGAGAAGGGAATGGCTTCCCACTCCAGTATTCTTGTCTGGAGAATTCCATGGATAGAGGAGCCTGGTGGGCTACAGTCCCTGGGGGCACAAAGAGTCGGACAGGACTGAGTGAATAACATTTGTGTGTAACAATAGGATATCACTATTGGTATCTTTAGTTGCAGCATGTGGGATCTAGTACCCTGACCAGGTATCAAACCTGGGCCTCCTGCATTGGGAGCAGAGAATCTTAGCCATTGGACCACCAGGGAAATCTTACTATTGTTTCTCTAATTGGAACAGATGTACCATGCTAATATAAGTTGTTAATATTAGGGGAAACTGTGTATGGGGTGGAGCAAGGGATAACTATGGGAACTCTCTGTACTATTTAATTTTTTTCTGTAAATCTAAAACTGTTCTCATGCAACTGACAAGGGCTTAATTTCCAAATATACAAACAGTTTGTGCAACTCGCAACAACAAAAACCATGAGCAACCCAATCAAAATATGGGCAGAAGACCTAAAGAGATATTTCTCCAAAGAAGACATATAGATGGCCAACCGTCACATGAAAAGATACTCAGTCTTGCTAATTATTAGAGAAATGCAAATCAAAACTACAATGAGGTGCCACTTCACACTGGTCAGAATGGTCATCATTAAAAAAAATCTACAAAGAACAAATGCTGGGGAGGATTTGGCGTAAAGAGAACCCTCCTACATTGCTGGTGTGAATGTAAACTGGTGCAGCCACTATGGAAGACTGTATGGATGTTCCTCAAAAAACTATAAATAGAGCTACCATATAATCTAGCAATCCCATTCCTGGGCATGTATCCTGACTAAACTATACTCAAGGAGAAACATACATCCCTATGTTCACAGCAGCACTATTCACAATAGGCAAGACATGGAAACAACCCAGAGAAGAAAATGGCAACCCACTCCACTATTCTTGCCTGGAGAATCCAAGGGACAGAGGAGCCTGGTGGGCTGCCGTCTATGGGGTCACACAGAGTCAGACACGACTGAAGCGACTTAGCAGCAGCAGCAGGAACCTAAATGTCTATCAACAGATGAAAGGATAAAGAAGATGGGATACCACTCAGACAGAAAAAAGAATGAAATAATGCCATTTGTAGCAACATGGATGGACCTAGAGATTATCATACTAAGTCATAAAGACAAATAACATGTGATATCACTTATATGTAAAATCTATAAAGAAAGCTGAGCGCCAAAGAATTGATGCTTTTGAACTCTGGTGTTGGAGAAGACTCTTGAGAGTCCCTTGGACTGCAAGGAGATCCAACCAGTCAATCCTAAAGGAGATTAGTCCTGAATGTTCATTGGAAGGACTGATGCTGAAGCTGAAGCTACAATACTTTGGCCACCTGATGCGAAAGACTGACTCATGGAAAAGACCCTGATGCTGGGAAAGATTGAAGGCCGGAGGAGAAGGAGATGACAGAGGATGAGATGGTTGGATGGCATCACCGACTTGATGGACATGAGTTTGAGCAAGCTCCGGGAGTTGGTGATAGACAGGGAAACCTGGTGTGCTGCAGTCCGTGGGGTCGCAAAGAGTCGGACACAGACTGGGTGACTGAACTGCACTGGTATGTAAAATCTAAAATATGACACAAATAAACTTATCTACAAAACAGAAACACACTCACAGACATAGAGAACAGATTTGTGGTTGCCAAGAGGGTGGGGGAGAGATGAATTGGGAATTTGGGATTTGCAGATGCAAGCTACTAAATATAGAATGGATAAACAAGGTCCTTATTGTATAGCACAGAGAACTATGGTCAGTATCCTGTGATAAACCATAATGAATAAGAATATGAAAAAGACTGTATATATATTATTTATACACGTATAGCTGAATCACTTTGCTCTACAGCAGAAATTAACACAACATTGTAAATCAACTATATTTTAATAAAATAAATTTTAAAAATATCTGTCTTGTTGTTTTAAATTGTATTTCCCTGACGCCTTCTGAGGCTAAATCTCTTTTCACATACGTTTTCTGTCAACTGCTTATTTCTACTTCTGCCCACTCTTCTATTTCTTGCTTTTTCTTATCGGCTTATAAATTTTTTTTCATAGTAAGGATATTAACCCTTTGTCTGTTACACATGTGTGGCAACAGTATTTTTTCTTTTGGCTGTGCTAACAGTATTTTTTTAAGTCTGTTGTTGGCCTTTCTGTTTATGGAAACATATGTCACCCAGAAAAATGTTCTTCTGTAAAAAAAAAAAATCTTTCTCTTTTGTAAGACTTCTGGGTCTTCTGTCCCCGCAAAGTTAAAAAAAACTATTCTTCTAATTTTTCTCCTAATATTTTTAGCTTTTATTTTTCACTCTAAGACTTTAACCCATCAGGGATCTATTTTGCAGGTGGTGTCAGATGAGAGGGGAGGATGTGGCTTTATTTTCTTCCAGATGGACCATCAATATGGCAGCATCATTTATTAAATATACAGACTTTCCCACTAACTTGCCATTCCTCTTTAACAGAATATAAGTTGCCATATAGAGCCTTAGATCTGTGTCTGGGAGACTGTTCTCCAAGCTGTCATCAACATCCAGCTCAAGAACCCACACCCAGCTTCTCCTTAAAAACTATAACCCCCTGCCCCACTCCTCCCAGCTGGAATCACCCTTATCCCCACTTGACCTCCCTTAGCCCCCACCTGACCTCCTATGGAAATCATTCATTCAAACCATACACTCATATATCGCGCTCCTCCTGAGTGTTAGGCACTGGACCAAAGAAGACTGCCCCTGTCTTCTAGAAATTCAGTCTGGGAAAAGAAGGGAGAATAAAGTGAGGCCAAGTAACCCTGGGGGAATATTGATGGTAGCGGTGTCAATTCCATTTCAGAAATCTACAAGAAGGGAATGACACTGAGGTGGGTGAAGTGTCCAATGGTGAGCAGGTGTTCACCAGGCAGTCATGGAGGAAGGAGTTGCCAGGTGGCATGAATAGCGTGTACAGAGGCACCGAGGCAAGGCAAAGCTTGATATGTTTGGGGAGATGCAAATGGCTCAGAGGCCCCAGAAAGGGGGTGCTGGTAGAGAAGAGAAAGCAAGGGGCAGGCTGGCCTGGTAAGTGTGAGACAGACTGGGACCTAGGACCTGGGAACCTTTGCTGCAATGCTTGCACCTGGACAAAATACAGAGACTATAAGGGACAAAAAATAACTGCGTGCATGCATAGTTGGGATAAATTTTGGACAAGATATGAAAAGACCAAAAAACCCAACTGCCACTTTTGAAGAGCCCAGAGCAAGGACAAAAGCAGGGTACTATGCATGCCCCTTGCACACACCACCAAAGGGGTAAGCAAGCCACCTAAGCCACCCCTCAGGTCTGATCCCTGGACACACTCCTACCCTCACCGCATGTAAGGAACCAGCTTACCCTTCCTAGATGAGCAAGTAAGCAGGGGGACCTGATACTTGTTCTCATTCCCTCTTGCTGCAGCAGGGCCCCAGTAAAGCCTAGCCTGAATTTCTTGTCTGGCCTCTGGTCAATTTCTATTGATTAAGGATGTCAAGAACCTTCGTTGGTAACAAGCGGGGCCAGAGTGCTCACAAGTGTGCTGCAGCATGTCTGCCTTTTCTCCTGAGGAGCACAGTGGGGCAGCAAGTGCGCCGACTCTCATATCCCATCTCCACATTCTACCTGGTCTGTCATATACTTACTACTTTACTTTTAGTTGGGCTTCCCTTGTAGCTCAGCTGGTAAAGAATCTGCCTGCAAAGCAGGAGACCCCAGTTTGATTCCTGGGTCGGGAAGATCCCTTGGAGAAGGGATAGGCCACCCACTCCAGTATTCTTGGGCTTTCCCAGTGGCTCAGACAGTAAAGAATCTGCCTGCAAAGCAGGACACCTGGGTTCGATCCCTGGGTTGGGAAGATCCTTTGGAGAAGAGAACGGCTACCCACCCCAATATTCTGGCCTGGAAAATTCCATGGACTGTATATCCATGGGGTCAAAAAGAGCCTTCTGAGTGACTTTCACTTTTGCTTTCAGTTAGCTAATCTTTTTCCCTAAAATAAATTCATTTTAAAGAGTCACTTTGTATCACCTCCATAAATGGGAAACCAGTATTCCTTGCTATAAATAAAATAAAATAGAAGAAAAAGCCTTAAAAGGAAACATATTTCTATGAAAACTAAAATTGTTCATCTGTACTATTTAAAAAAAAAAAAAGGAATATCCCAGCCAACACAACAAATACTTCACATTAGGACACATTGGTGTGCTGAGTAAAAGAATGGGCTGCCTGGGTCCAAATCACAGCTCTGAAGAGTATTAGCTATGGATCTCTGGGGAAGCCACCTTATCTCTGTTTTCCCATTTGTAAAATATGGTGATAATAGAACCTTCCCCACTAGGTTGTACGATTAAATGAGAATTTGGGTACCATTTTGGGTACCATTCATGAGTGTTCTCAATATGCCTTGGCTAGTTTGAGGCTGTAGGAAGTCCTCCAAGGATATGAAACAGAAGGTCACCTGGTTTGCATCTTTCCTTTGACTGTGGGGTAGGTAAGGAATGACTGGGAGAGACCCTTCCAGGCTGCTGTGGTCCCAGTGAGCAGGATGGAGTCCTGAAGCCTCCAGTGGGTTGGAGGAGATGCAACTGGACATCAGGAAGAGAGACTGGGGGTAAGGCTGGCACCAAGATTCGAGTGAGGTAGATGGTGGGGCCCTTCAAGGAAGGGGGAACACAGGAGGCAAGACCATGGTCCAGGGTGTGAAGAGTATGATTCTGTATACTTGGAGTTGGCAGTCTGTGAAACCCACATCCAGAGTTGGCTGATTCAGGGCCTGACATTCAAGGGTGAGTAGGTTATGCCTTTGGGCCGAGGTCAGTCCCCGCCCTCCAAGTCTGAAAGGTGACGAGTCTCCCTAGTCAGGTGTGGGTGCTCAGGAAAGACCTCCACCGCGTCCTTCTGCCTCTTCACGGCTGCACTGACCTTTCCTGGGGGTTGCCCGAGTAAGGTCCCTTTGAGGCTGTGGCCAGTCGCAGACTCATCCCCCCATGTACATTGAAATCTGGGAAGGGCTGGGACCCTGGAAGGGAACAGTGATGACCCCAAATGGGATGGAAGGAGAATACTACGGAGGTCTTCCTCCTGAATTCTCTGGGGTCTCATTTGGCTCCCACTCCAACCCTGCCCCTTCCTGAGGGCCCCTGGACCACCTCTGCCCCACATTTAATCGGATTAGGAATTGGAAGGTTTGGATCCCATCTCCACAACAGAAACCCAGGTCAGCGCTGCTCTGGGAACCCTTCACCTCTGGGATCACGCTGATAGTGTCTGCTCCCCATCTCACTGCCCGCCCCCCTCCACAACACTGCCGGCCACTCTCCCGCGCCCCCACCTAGGGGTGCCCGAGTTTAGATAGTTCCTTGAATGGAGGGTAGATAGTTCCTTGAATGGAGGGGAGGTCCCGGTAGTCCTTCCTTCCACCGCCAGGCGTCACCATCGGCATGGAAATGGAAGGCGCAGCCAGGCCCTCTGGACGCCTGGTGGACAGCGGCCCCGCCAGCCCTATGCGGGGTGCCAAGGACCCTGCAGGGGGGACGCCTAGACCTCCGGAGGGCTGCCATTGGGTGCTCTGGACCCAGTGTCCGTCGGGGGTCCAGAGGGACATGTGTCCCGGAATTCTGGCCGCTGTGACCAGGAGTGGAGGCCAACTGGAGGGCCAGGGTGCGTGTGAGCATTGGAACCTGGGGTGCTCCGCCTCTCCGCCCACCCTGCGCCCCTTCAGTGAAAAGAAAGTGGGAATTGTTCACTTACGGATGTTATGCTGACCCTTTCAAAAATAAAGAACTCGAGGCTCCCTTTCTGTGACCAGGTGGACGACCCCTCTCCCTGACTCAGCCGGGATCATTTCTACCGCAGAGCGGCATCCCTGCAAAGCCCCTGATCCGACAGCGACGTGAACACCTAAGGTTGAATGAGTAACCTAATGCAAATATAAGGACAGGTGGCACTAACTGAGCACTTTTTATGTGTCAGACGCTGCTCCCAACAAGCTTATACGTGCATACTGTTAACTCTCCCCATAAAGAGGCTGGGCACAGAGAGGCGAAGGCATTTACACAGTGGCAAATGAAGGATTGGGACCCAGGCAATCTGGCTCGAGAGCTCCATTGCTCAACAATGTCTCCGAGCCGGACAGGCCCTCCCTTGGCTTGAGAGAGAGAGAGAGAGAGAGAGAGAGCAACGCAGTGGGCGGGTGCGGCGTCATCTTCCTGGCAGGGCAAAGCGCCCCCAGGCGGCGCCCCAAGTGACCACCAGGCGGCGCGCTGACCCCACTGGCGTCCCACTCGACACGCCCGCGCGGTCTCCGCATCCTCCCGGTGGGAGCCGGCGCTGACCATGGCGACCTGGGTCCAGCCGACAGGTGGAGAGCAGGTGCCCTGGTGCCAGGTGTGGGGTCCCTGCCAGGTGCCCTGCAGTCTAGCAGCCCAGGGCCTGTTTTCTTCCCCCTTGCTTCTCACCTCCAAACATACTGGTTTGTACCATGAAAGGAGCACAGGCAGACTCCTTATAATCAAGTGCTTCACTGTTTACAAAGCTCTTTCCACCAGCTCAGTGCAGACAAAAGACCAAGGTACTATGTGCCCACTGGGAGCCAGATGTTCTCACCCTCACAGTCCTCACCCGGAGAGAGGGGCAGTGCCAGCTCCGTAGACAGGCAGTGCCAGTCCCCCTAGAAGACAAGATGTTCTCCCAAGATCACCCACACAGCCAGTCTCAGGGCCAGGCCCTAATCCAGGGATCCTGGACCCCACGTTCTTACCCTTTCCTCTCAAGAGAGTGCACGTGAGAAGTGTACAGCCCTCCTGGGTGGAGAGTCCCATGAGAGGCAGGGGCACAGACGAAATGACCCCTCAAAGAGGCAGGCACAGTGTGGGATGCTAGTGGGCAGCTTCCTTCAGGCCTCTGGGGCCAGGGGATTCCCGCCTGCTTCCTGGCTCCCCTGTTCCCGCTCTGGGATCACTCCTCCCTACAAGACAGGCCCTGGCAGCCCATTGTGCACCCTCACTGTCTGTCCTCTGAGAGTCCCTCACACTCTCACCTCTGATAACTCTCAAGGTTTGCACACCTCCCAGTCTGAACCTTCCAGTGGGACCTCCACCCTGCACCCAGCTCTTCGCTGCACTTGAGCATCTGAAGCACTTAATACCCCCTATCCAGGGCAGGGCACTGCACCCTCCCGCAAACCTGCCCTTCATCCTGTGTCCCTGGGCTAGAAAGCTGGGGGCATCTCTGACCCCTCAACCACTGTCCTAGAGCCTAACTCCTCTTCATCCTACTACTTAAATGTCTTTCAGGCCCATCCCCTCCTCTCCATCCCCAGGGGATCTGCCCTAACTCAGGCCACCAACACCTCCCAGCTCCTAGTGTCATCCTCTCTCTTAAATCTACTGCCAGCAGAGTGATCTTTCTAGTGATCATTCTAAAGTGTAAGTCTGCTCCTTGTTTAAAACTTGTAAATTAAAAATTTGTAATACAAAACATCTTAATGATATGACAAAGCCCAAACCTTCCATCAGACCTATAAAGCCCTGGGCCCATCCAGGCCCTGCCCATCTCTCTGCCCTCTTCTCACTCCCCACTCCTTCACTGCTTCAGCTCCTCCAAAGCACCAAACTCTTCCTAGACTCTGAGTCTTAGCATACGCTGTTCCCTCTGTCTGGAAGGCCCCTCCCTAGCCTGATAGCTGGTGTGGTCTCCTCACCCTTCCGATTCCAGCTGAAATGTCACATCTCACAGAGGCCCCCCTGACCAATTCCAGGGAAAGTGGGACCCCTCCTTGGTTTCTCTCTCACTCATAACTTGCTGGTCTTCTTCCTTCACACCACTTGCCAACATCTCAGAGCTTGTGTTTTCATATGCTTAGATATTTAATCTGTCTCTCTCAGAGCCCAAATTCTCCACTTGAAGGACTGCCATCTCTCAATCACAGCTGTACCCCCACACCCAGCCCAGGACCCAACATAAAAGTAGACATCCGATAACTATTTGTGGAACAAATGAGTCTTTCATCTTGTCCTCATCAGAACCCCATTCCCAGCCTTTCTTTCATCTCTGGCCTTTGCATGAGTTGCTTCCTCTGCCTGGAAGGTTCTTTCCTTCTCCCACCTCAGCTGATCCACATAAGAGTAGTTTCTCTAGGATTTGTCCTTGGCCCCCTCATTAGAATTAGGGTTTCCCTCTGGGCTCCCCTGGTTTCCTCTAATAGCATTCTATCATAACACTCAAAAATTGCAAATTTCCAGGTAAACAGGAGAGATTGTTAGCAACAATGATCTACTCCCGCCTCTCCCGTGACCTCTCCGCTCCAGCTGGCTCAAGGGCATCCATTCTCTGCCTTTCAAACCATCAGGAGCCCCATTTCCTATTCATTCAATAAGCACTGATCAGGCACCCCTGTGTTTTTTTTCTTTACTGCAGCACTGGAGTGGCAGAGAGGAGGGGAGGGATACAGACAGGATTCTTCCAAAGGTGAGACTGAAGCAAGTGAAAGCATCCGAAGTGCTGAGCAAATGCCCAGCCAACCCACATCCAGGGTGCAAGTAGGCACCAAGGAGGCTGGGGGCCAAGGGGCAGGACTAGCACATTGAGTTCTGCCCCCTTCATTGAGCATCTGCTGTGTACAGGGTGTGATGGGTGAGAGGGTTAGGGATACGGAGAGGTGACCCTGACTGGCAGACACATCTGGGCTTACCTCCAGCACAGCTGTGCAGAGTGGTCTGTCTTCCCATCCTGGGAGCAGCTGGAAGAAACAGTGTTGGGTCCAGTTCTCAGAGGACCCTCTGCCAAACCCCATAGTCTCTTTTATGCCAGGCTGCTCTGCTCCTGTGAGCTACTGCTCATACCGTCTTTCTTGACACTCCCCACACACCAGTTTATCAAAGTCCAGAGGCCATTACCTGGGAAAGGGGCAAAAATGCATCGTCCTGAGCTCCCATCTGTTGACCCTGGGGTGGGACCTGGCCTCTGCATGTGTAAAGTTACCTCAGCTTGGCACACTCCTGTGAGAGCCCCACTGCTTCTGTGGCTTCTGGGATCAGCCCACAAACCCTCCTTGCCCCTGGCTGCCAGCTTCTGCCTGGGGTCTTTTGGGAGCAGCTCTTCCTCTGTCCACCCCTTAAATCCATCCAAGCCCCTTGTTCTACTTGCACATCCACACTCCCGGTACCCCAGGCGAGACTGTTCTGTCTTTGGTTGGCTAACAGCACCCAGACTTGACTTGACCAAAGCCAACCCCCATCCCTCTGGAACTGACTTGCCTCCTCACTGCTGGTAGTGCCCACCTCAGAGGGCATCCTGCCTATTGCCCAAGCTAGAGACTTGGGTATCAGACTTGACTCCCTGTCTCCCTTCCTCCCTTATTTCAGCAATAACGTAATCCTGATCTGCTTCCCCAGCATGTTTCCAGTCTCCCCCTCTCTCTCACCCCAGATTGCATTTATCCCCTAACTGGTTCCCTCCAGAGCTCTAGTCTTTCCTCTTTCCTGTGAATTCTCCAAAATGTTCTAAAATGCAAATCTGACTATAATTACTAGCCCCCCTTAAAACCCTTCAAAGTGTTTTCAAGGTCCTAACCCCCTTGACCCACAGGAAAGACCTTGGGTCAGTTGGTCCCAGCTTCCTGCTCCAGCTTCCTCTCCTCCCCTCTGAGCTCCAGTAACTGCAAACTGCTTCTGGTTCTAGCCTGCAGATCTTAGACCATTCATTTGTCCTTTGGCACCACCTCCTCCAGGAAGCCAGCCTTCTCCACCCACACCCACACTGTCCTCAGTGTATCTGTACTGACTGCTGGAAGGATCTTTCTACTCACCACACTGAGTTATAATCATTGATTTTCATGTCTCAGTTCCACACTAGCCTGTGAGATCCTTGAGGGCAGGGATGGAGTTCCATTCATCTGTGTATCCCAACCCCTGGCCTGGTGCCTGGGACCAAGGACAGGCTTGGCCAGTGGTTGATGGATGAATGCGGAGTGGAAACTTGAAGGAAGTGAGAGTCAGGAAGGGCTAAGAGGGCAGTGAGGGCAAGCCCGGCAGGAGGCTCAGCCAGAGCAAATGTGTGGGCAGTAGAAAAGAGCTTCCCTTTATTGCACGCCATGACTGCCCGCCAGCCATTGTGCCTGTGCTTTGCTTGCACATTCTGTCTCATTTAGTTCTTGCAACAACAGATCAGGAAACTGGCTTCAGAGAACCAAAGCAACCTGCCCAAGGTCACACAGCCAGGCCTGGAATGGAATCCAGGACTGTCTGGCCTGAAAATCTGTGCTCTTTCTGCTGGGTCACACTGCTCTCCTGGGGATAGGACCTTCTGGAGATGGACAAGGAGTGGGCCCAGCTACGCCTCTGCCTAGCTGAGTGCCGGAACCAGCTGCCCACGCTCAGGCCGACAGCTTCTTCCTCCCAGCCGGACCAGAGGCTCAGAGGCCAGACAAAGGTTTATCTGTTCCTTCCTCCCCTGGCTTTGGTGGGGTGGGGGGTGGTCTTTGATTAGACCTGCACACACACACCCCCACCACCACCAGAGAAGGGCTGCTGTCTCCTGTACTGCCCAGGGTGCCTGGGGAATGCAGGGGGCCCTGTGACGCTGTCTGGGTTCTGCAGAATCTGTCTCCCTCATCGCACTTGGCCCAGGCTGATATTAAGATTCATCTGCATTCCCCATGCACCGGCCTGGCAGATGGTGGGGGAGGAGGCTGGGTGCGTGCTGGGGGCTGCAGCCAGAGACCAAGCTGGGCCTCGAGGGCCACAGCAGAGTGCCCACCCACCCTGCCCCATGGGCCAAGCCCAGGCTGGGGCCACGCCAAATGCTGGGGTTCCTACCTCAGCCTCACAGCCTCTGAGAAGTGCTGGGTGCTGGGACTTGACCTTTGATTTTTCTAAGGACTAAAGGGGCCCTGCAATTCCAGGAAGACAATGTGGAGATGTGGGGTGATGGGGGATGGGACCCACTTTGCAATCTCGAATGAGGGTCTTTTTCTACCTTCTTGCTCTGGAGGTTTACCGAAACCAGAGACAGAGACCCTGCTGGCATAGGAGCCCCACATCCCAGCCTGTGACTCCCTGGATCACAGGAAGGGCAGAGTGAAGAATGGAGGTACAACCTCCAGGGGCCTTGCTCACCTCACTCCTCAGCTTCTCGGGAGGCTTACCCCAGAAATCCAGCCTGGCCCCTAGCTGCCTTTTCATTCCAAGACTCCAGTCAAGTTTCCTGTCACAGCGACTGTACTGAGAGGTACTGGGGGGAGGTGGGGAGGGTTATCCCAGCCCCTCTGAGTAAAGCAGAACAGGATAGGAATTGATATTATAACCAAAGGAGTACAGGCTAGACACCCAGAAGAACTTCCCCGGGCACAAAATCAAGTCTTGCAGAGAGAAGTGGACTTTGGGCTGTGGAGACAGGTTACAATAAGGAAGACCTTCTTTTCTGAATCTCTTGTGATGGGGTTTGGGAAAAATAATCTTTTCAAATTCCAGGTCTCTTGGGGTTCAGGGAGGGCAGCAGATTCTCAGGGCTCCCTACCAGGAACAGAGGCCCTGGTCAGGGTTGGAATTAGTAGGGTCCTTACCCCCGAGGTCACCACCCTCTCCCTGCCTCGCGAGTAAACTCCGCCTCCAAATCCTGCCCCCTGCGTCCTAAATCCCTGGGTTGCGGGCCGGCAGGGGAGGAGTTAACTCCGGAGGTACCGGCTGGGCTCACAGTACCTGCCGCCGCCGCCGCCGCCGCTGCTGGTGGGAGGGACGAGTAAGCGGGAGCCGCCTGGGCGCCAGGAGCGCTCCAGTCTGGCGGGAGGCAGCGCGGGGAGCGGCGGCGGGGCTTGGCGCGGCCAGGGGCGTCCGCCAGGGGGCGCGCCGCGACGGGGCGGGAGGGGCCATCTGGCCTAGGGAATTCGCTCTAGGGCGAGCGCGCGCGCGGGTCCCCAACACATCTGGGCGAGAGCGGCGCCGCTGGAACCGAGGGGGCATATCTGGAGCCGCGGAGCCACCGCGCAGCTGGGGCCCTTCGAGGCGCTCGGGGCGCACATCTGGGCCCGCGAGAGGGGGCCGCGCCGCGCGCAGCTGGACCAGGGGAGGGGGGCGGCGGCTGCACAGCTGGACCGAAGGGGGCGGGGTCGGTCCTGGGCGGCTGGCCGCGCGGAGGGCCGCCAGGGGCCGGGGGACTGGAGCATGGGACGGCGCGCCTGAAAGAGCGAGCAGGGGTGAGGAAGGGCCTGGGACCCTGAAGGGAACAGGCGCGAGAAAGGGGCACGAGAGCAAAGGAGGAAGATGCAACTGACTCGCTGCTGCTTCGTGTTCCTAGTGCAGGGCAGCCTCTATCTGGTGAGTGATCCGCGGGGAGCGGCGCGGAGGGGCGGGGGCCGGGAGGACTGGGGGAGAGCGCGGGAAGCTTCCGAGCCCGAAAACTTTCTCCCTTCCCCCCAACATCCCGGGGATGGAGAAGCCTCGAGGCTGGGGGAGAGGGCGGGTCCGAGGCCGGAGTCTGTACAGGAAGGGTTAATAGGGGCGGGGAGAGGGTGCTGGGCTGGCCCACCTACTCGGCCGCTGGTGGCGAGAGGTGCGACGGGCACGAGGGGAAATGCCCGCAGACGTCGCCAAGGGTCACTCGACCTCTTCCCGGGCCCCGGGCCGTGCGGAAGGGTAGTGGAGGGTGGCTGTGGAGCTGAAGACCTGCCAGGGTAGGGGGTATGGGCTCTTCCCTGACCTCGGGGAGGCGGAGGGGCCCGGAGGGCCCCGCGCTCTGGGGCCCCCAGCGCACTAGCTGGCTCAGGCGAGGGGTGGCCCCCGCGTCCCTCGCTCCCGCCTTCCCTCCTGCTCCCTCCCTCCTCGCCTGTTGTTTTCCTCTCCTCTCCCGGCTGCGCGCAGCCCGAGCCCCACAGGACCTGGGCAGGCGGCTCCCGCCCCGGGCGCTCGCGGCAGCTGAGCGGAGCGCCCGAAGCCCGCTCCCCGTGCGCTCGCTCGCGCCTTCCTGGCGGCCCAGGACGCGGGGAATCCACACCAGACCCCAGCTCAGGGCGCGAATCCCCTCCGACCGACCGCCACCTACCAATCCTGTTGTGGAGAAGCCTCAGACCCACATCTGGGTCTGCCCATCTCCTCAAAACAATAATCCCCTTTGCCATTGTGTGGACGAACCCTTCCCTTCTCACATCTCCCCCTAGGGCCCTTCTCTTCATCCTCCAGCCATTCAGCTGTGACCCCCACCCCCAGGGTTCAGTACTCGCACACGTCTTCTGCCTTGACCCCAGCCCCGCGGCCCTCCCCTCCTGCTGTCCCTCTGTCCCACCCTTGGGTCCTGGCAGGCAGGGACACCGCGCACAACCGCAGACATGGCCAGGGTCAGAACAGGGGACATGAAGACCCCGAACCCCTCTGTAGCCGTGCATATGACAGCCTCAGGCGTTCCACATCCTTATCCCAGGTCCCAGCAAGTCCAGATGCTGCCCAGCTGTGAGCTGGTACACCTGGTGCTGGTTATGAGACACAGAGGGTCTTTCTTGAAAAGCTGAGCATATCCACGCCAGGCAGCTGTCCTCAGGGAACCTGGTCCATTCCCTGGTGCCCTCCTGAGCTGTCCTGAGTTTGAGCTTGTCGGGCTGTCCTGCTGGCCCTCCCCACAGCTCCTTCAAGAAGCCTCCCCAGATGTTGCCTGTCAGTAGAGCGGATGCAGAGGGGCCAATTGAGCCTCCGCAGAGCTTTCCAGAGACCCCAGATGAGGGTAGGGTTTGGATAAAACCCCCGCAGAAGGACCCGTCTGGTCTGAGAGCCCGGGAGTGTGGTGGATCAGGAGGACTCACCCTGAAGGACTTAGTCTTTAGTGATGTGAACTGTGAGTCTGGTGTCCCCATCTGTGAGATGGGGCTAAGAAGAACACCTCCCTCCTAGTATGTCATGTCCTGGCATGTTACCATCAGTGGAATTTGGTCATTCTGGTTATGGAACTCACCCAGGTCTCCCTCAAAGCCTCCCATTAAAACCTAAACCGCATTGTACTCGAGAGAGAACTTTACTGGGTTCTGTTTTCTTTTCCATCATCTGTTGATTCTCTTTGCCTCTGAGGGTAGAAACTCTCCCAGTGTAGGAATGGTGTCTCATTCAACAGACTAGAAAGTTCCCAAAGGCAAGGGCTGTACCTCCCCTGTCTCAGCAGAGAGATGGAGCACCCCTACCTGACTTGGGGCTCTTTGAAGGCAGACAGTGTACCACCTCCGTTAGCTGGGGAATATCACAGAGGCTGAAACTGTATCTCTCCTAGACAACAACTGCTCTGTCAACAAAGGGGTGTACTTCTGCAGTCTGATGAAGGTTCTCCCAAGATCAGGAGCTGGGCCTCCATCAGACTTGGAGCTCTCTTAAGAGTAGAAGCTGTGTAACTGTGCTGGTCCCTGGAGAGAATTCTCCACCATCTCTCCAGACTTCAAATAGTGGCCAGAGGCAGCACAGTGGGGAGAGGAGCTAGGGGTGACCTGAGTGTCAGAACATGAGAGGGAACCATGACACAGGCCCAGAATGCACACCCAACCCCCAGTGTAAGTGAGCAATGTGCCGGGGCCCCTCGGCCGCAAGTCAGAGTGGAAGGGAGGGGCAGAGAGATGGTCTGGTGGTAGGGAGTAGGGGACCGGAATTCCTGAGTCTTCTGAGGGCCCAGGTGCTCACTCTCCTCCCAACTGCCTCCGCAGGTCATCTGCGGCCAGGATGACGGTCCACCAGGCTCAGAGGACCCTGAGCATGATGACTCTGAGAGCCAGGCCCGGCCGCGGATGCCTCGAAAGCGGGGCCACATGTCCCCTAAGTCCCGCCACATGGCCAACTCTACTCTGCTAGGACTGCTGGCTCCACCTGGGGAGGCATGGGGGGTCCTTGGGCAGCCCCCCAGTCGCCCAAACCACAGCCCCCCGCCATCAACCAAAGTGAAGAAAATCTTTGGCTGGGGTGATTTCTACTCCAACATCAAGACGGTAGCCCTGAACCTGCTGGTCACGGGGAAGATCGTGGACCACGGCAACGGGACCTTCAGTGTCCACTTCCGACACAATGCCACGGGCCAGGGCAATATCTCCATCAGCCTTGTGCCCCCCAGTAAAGCTGTAGAGTTTCATCAGGAGCAGCAGATCTTTATTGAAGCCAAGGCTTCCAAAATCTTCAACTGCCGGATGGAGTGGGAGAAGGTGGAACGGGGCCGCCGGATCTCGCTCTGCACCCATGACCCCGCCAAGACCTGCTCCCGAGACCACGCTCAGAGCTCGGCCACCTGGAGCTGCTCCCAGCCCTTCAAAGTCGTCTGCGTCTACATCGCCTTCTACAGCACGGACTACAGGCTAGTCCAGAAGGTGTGTCCGGATTACAACTACCACAGCGATACTCCCTACTACCCCTCTGGGTGACCCCTGGGCAGGCCACAAAAGGCAGGCCAGGGCTGGAAGGACAGGCCTGCCCACACAGGAAGCCATCTGTCTGGATACTGGGCAGGGAAGGGAAGGGGCCTCAGGCAGGGAGTTCCGGGGTGGAGAGGATGAGAGGCCAGCTGTGGCCAGAACCGGGTCTCAGGTGGTGGGGAAGGGGTCACAGGTGCTGGCCCCAACCTGAGGCTGTGGGGCGAGCAGGACACAGGAGCACTGGCCGAGGAGTGGGTTCTCTGGGTGGCCTCACAGGGCTTCCCCACTGAGCGACAGAAAGATGCCAGGTCCAGGAAGCCCCTGGGGCAGGCAGACCAATACAGTTTCTGAGAGGAGCCTGAAATCTTGGCTCCCTCCTTGCCATCCTGAGAAAGAACAGCAACGAGGAGAGGAGTATTTCATCAGTGTGGTCACCCAGTGAGCCCTGCAGGATGATCGAGCTGGGGCTTCTTGGCAGCCAGCAGCAGGAACTCTCCAGCCCCACCCAGGAGGCAACCCTGAGCCCTCATCCTGGACTGTGGTCTGAGCTCGGCTTGAGGCGGAAGTGGTGACCCTTGGAGTCTTTGATGTCTTGGCAGAGAGACCAGCTGCCCCTAGCCAGGCCTCCCCTTTTCAAAATCGCTTCTCTAGCCATTGCTCCCCACCCCACCCTTGAGCTGAAGTACCCCTCTGTCCGTAAGCTGAGGCGAGGACAACTGCGCTTCTCCCAGCACCAAGGCCACAGGCGGAAGCCACCCGTGAGTGGCGTGTTCCTCCCCCATCCTGCCCCTGCTGGCTCCTCTGGGAGTGACCTTATCCAGCAAGTGAGCCTTCCACAGCCAGCCTTGCCCATCAGCCCAGGGCTCGCCTGGATAAAGATGCTGCCTCCCTCGTGGCCTGTGGGGCCGTCAGCAGCTCGGGGTGGGTGAGGTCACACTGTGGTGGGTGTGCTGGACCTGTCTCGTAGTGTCTGTCTATGGGGGTGGGGGTGGGGGGTGGGGTTTGTGAACTCACCTGATGGTCAACTTGTGTGTGCAGACTCTTGTTCACCGAGCAGGGAATAAAGCTTTCCTGGATATTGGACTCCGAGTTGTTGGGGACAAGGGGGTCGGGGGAGGGCCCCAGGTGCCCAGTGTCTGGCCGGCGTCTCTCAGATGACAGCAGGACATTTCCTGAGGCCGGAGCTGCGGGGCTCCAACAGCTGCTGGAGCTGATGCTCCAGGGCTTCCCTCCCCGCCCCTGTCTAGCCCCGGAAGCTGGACCGATGCTGTGTGGGCCTGGTAGCGGGTGGGCCTGGCAGCTGCCGAGCACCTGGGGAGGAAGAACTAGTAGGTGGGTGGGCCACATAGGGTGGGTGATCCTGGTCACCTTCCTGGGTCGCCATTTGGGTGGGCCCACTAGGGTAACAATGCTCTGTCAATATTTGCTCTGTGACCTTGGGCAAGTCCATTGTCCTCTCTGGTTCTCTTTTCCTTTTTCGCTATAAAATGAGGAGCTTGTCCAGCCCAGAGTTTCTCAAATGTGAGTGGGCTTCTGAACCAAGAGGGTTGTTAAAGCACAGATTTCTGAGTTCTACCCCAGAGTTTCTAATTCAGCAGGTCTGGAGCGCCACCCCCGGATTTGCGTTTCTAACAAGTAGCGAGTGCCCAGGTAGACACTGATGCTCCCGGCCCAGGGGCCACACTTTGAGGGCCGCACACATGTCCTCTGAGCCCCTTTCTGGCTCTGGCTCCCTGAGATGAGGAGACACTGCCAAGGCTCTCTCCTAGTTGTGATTTCCAGCGGCTCCTCCTGCGGAAGTCTGGGAGGGGTCCCATCAGGGAATCAGGGGTATTGGGTTTTCAGTCTAACACGCTTGGGGAGGAACAGGCTGGGGCGTGGGGGGAGGACCATAGGGGCTTGGAAGCAGCCATCCCCATGCTCTGGCCCACAGGAGGGCACCTCATCTGGGAGTCATCTGGGCCCTTTGGGGCTCCATGAGGGGACGGCAGGAGCCAAGATCGTGGTGCCCTCTCTGGAGTCCACTCAAGGTCTGCTCTCCTGGGAGGGCAGCACACATGCCCCCTGCATCCCTTGCGGCCAGGTAGCCGGAATGAGGAGAGTCCTAGGTTGCTCTGGCCACCCCCAGCCTATCTCCCTTGCCCAGCAGCACTCAGCACGGACAAGTGCCCTCACAGCACAGAACAGAGCTCGTGGGGCCATAGAAGCCACCTTGCTGTCGCCCCAGGTTGTAGGAAGTAAGTGACCCAGGAAGGGCAAGTGACTGGAGCCCACGCTCCCATCCCAGCCTCTTCCCCACCCACCCACCACACTGTGCTTCCCAGGGCATCTCGCCTCGGCAGAGATTTGAGAGCTCCTCCACACCTCCCACTCCCTTCCCACCCTGGGCACAGGGGCCCGGCCTTGCCTTTGGGGGTCTGGGCTTGCTGGATCCTCATGCATGTCCCCCCTGTGGACACACACTGGACATCGACCCTGAGCAGCTCCCTCAGCCCTGAGGCTGTGCTGGGCTCCTCCCCCGTCCAGCCTGGCTGAACTGTCAGCAGGGCTGGGGGCACTCTGACCCAGCCCGCTCCTCTCCTCCTGTGGAGAGCCAGATGCTGCCGACAGCTGGATGGCTGGCCTCCTGGCACACATTCCGCCTGCACAGGGGTGGGTTCATTTTAATAACTTCATTTCACCCGTGCGCACACTCTGCTGCTGCATCCCTCCTTTTCCACCTTCCCAGTAACTGGTGGCTCCTCTCAGTTAAGATCTTGCTAACAAATTTCCTCCTGAATTATAATTCTTTTGAAATAGTCCTTGTGCCCTACTGGTCTTGCTATCACCAGACACTTCTGCGCCCCCACCCCATCCCCACAAAGGGTAGGACATTAAGCATCTGGCTATGAAGGTGCCAACCTTTACCCCCTTGATGAGCAATGCCTAGGGCATCTACCAAGGAGAGGAGATGGACCCCCAGTTCGCAGCAAGTGCTTGGACCATCATGCCATTCAAAACTCACAGGAGAGCAAATTCTTCGGGAACAGACCTGTCTCCTGTCCCAGAGAGAAGCTCCAGGTACCTATCTTTGCCTACACCCTGCTGCCGCTGCCTGCTGTCCTTGCAGCCCTGCTCTCCAATCTGTTCAGCTTGGCTGGGGAGCCAGCCAAAGGCAGGGGCCTTATCTCCTCTATTTGAGTGGAGCCTCTGGGACAAGCCCTCCAGACTGGGGGCTCTTCGGGGACATGACTTGTAAATCCCCACCAGCCTGGGGAGCCCCTGGGGCCAGGGTCTGTACCTCCCAGGTCAGACTTAAGAGCTTCTGATGCCAGGATCTGTGCCTCCCTCATCAGACTCGAGTCTCTCTGAGAGCAAGAAATGCAGTATCGATACAGCAGGGAAAGCTTGTTCTTTTCTAAGTACTGGAAGAGCTGGAGGTGGCCTCTGCCCTCATCCTGGTGCACATCTGGGCAAGCATCCCCTCCTGGACCTCAGCATCCCCATCTCTAATGGGGTGAATCTTCCCAGTGGTCTGTGAAGCTAATAAGAGGGAATACATGTCAACTGGCAGCGATGATGTCTTCCTTTTGGTGAAGCTTAAGGCAAAAGCAAATGGGTGCCTGGGTCCCTCCTCCCTCCTCTCCCCACCCTCCCTCCTTACCCTCTTCCCAGGGATGAGCAAGCAGGAACTGAGTCACCCTCTTTCCCATCGTTGGCAGGAATGCTGGTGACCTTGCATATGGCAGACTTCTGTGGTGAGGCCCATTGCTCAGAGATGAATGAGGTGGTAGGTGGGTAGGGAATCTGGGGAAAGGTGTGTTTGGGGGTGGAGTAACCAAGGTTCTGGATTATCAAGTGGGTATGTGTAGGGGGTTGTGGGAGACACAATGGACCAGTTGCTCTGTGCTGGGAAGTGATCCAATGTCAAGGTTAGGAATAGGAGAGAGAAATGTTACTTCCAAAGGCTCTGAGTCCTCTGGTACTGCCAGGAAAACCAGGGACTGGGTGATGGGTGAGGAGAGGGACCACCAGCCCTGCTAGTTGGAGCCAAGATCGGCTGCGGGCAGCACTTGCCCATTATACCAAAATCCTGGAGAGGCAGCTGCCACAGTTTCCAAGGCACCATGCCACAGGAGACTGGCACACAGCTGGGGGCTTGGTTCTGGTTCCACAGGAGCCTGGTTTCCTGTTGGTCTGCCAAACCCAAAGGCGGACCTGATAACAGTCCAAGCCAAGGTGTCTCGTTCAGAGCCTCCCAGTTCATCTGAGAGCCACTTGGCTAGATGGTCCCAAGGGAACAAACTAGCACCTCCTGAACCACAGAGACTCCCAATGAACTGCCCACATGACAGTTGCAGAAAGATGTATCTGGCCCCCAATTCTGAGTCTGTAATTTACTAGCTGGGTGCGCTGGACAAATGATATCATCTCCCAGAGCCTCCTTAGGTGAATATCTAGGGGGTCTACCTTCCTTGGAACATTGTTGGGAAGATTAAAGGAGTTGCTCAACAAATGTTACTTTCTCCTGTTTGTTTCTGGATATGGGTTTGTGTTCACTTCAGCCTTATTCCTAGTGTGGAGAAGTGAAAAGGTCCCAGGCTGGAGGTAGGAGACTTGGGTACCCATAATGCATGTGGCAGAGACCACTAATATCTATTTCCCCTTTCTACATATTAATAGTAATGGAATTCTCCATTTTTAGCTGGGCAGTTGAAGGCCTGGGAAAAAAAACAACTTCATTTCACTACCTCTCTTGCACCTAGATGTGACCATGTGACTTAGATCTAGCAAGTGACATGTAAGCCAGTTATTTGGCAACTTCCAGAAATCTTAAGACTTTGCCTCTTCTTCTTTATTTCATCCTCTGTCCTGCTGCCTGGAATATATATGTGATTGCTGGAACTCTGTCATCTTAGACCAAGAGGGATAAGAGCCATACCCTAGAAGCGGCAGACCCATGAGCTGGAAGATGCTGATTCCTGAAAATTTTGTGGAATAGAAATATCATATCAGGGCCTTCTCTCATGGCTCAGAGCTAGAGACTCTGCCCATCAATGCAGGAGACACAGGTTCGATCCCTGGTCCAGATCCCACATGCCCCAGAGCAGAGCAACTAAGCCCATGTGCCACAACTACTGAGCCTGTGCTCTAGAGACCACATGCTGCACCTCCTGAAGCCTGCATGCCCTAAATCCTGGGCTCCACAACAAGCCACTGCAACGAGAAGCCCACTCACTGCAACTAGAGAGGAGCCCCAGCTCACCACAACTAGAGAAAAACCTACCCAGCAATGACGATCCAGAGCAGTCAAATAAATTAAATAAATAATTTTTTTTTAAATAAAATAAATAATTTTTAAAAGGAAATATCATACCAGTCCTAGGCTCCTACCTTCAGACTTTTATGTAAGAGAAAAATCAAAGTTTTATCTCACTGGGTCTCCGTTTCTAGCAGTTAGGTCTAGCTCCACTTGATTCACTGGATGTGGTTGAATGCTTCACTTCTGTGGACCTCCTCTGTAGAAATGAGAAAATGCTCACATATCTTTCCACTCTTCCAAGAGGTTTTATCAACTCACGGGCAAGAAGGAAGTTGGGAAAGCTCTGGTATTCTGCCCCCTCTCTGGCACTGAGGGGCACAGCCACCATTTGGCGGGTGTAACAAGTTGCTGCCACGTGGCAGGGGGCCCCTGAGAAGCCCAGAAGGATGCTGTATCCCTGTCTGAAAGGCCCCTCACCCCCAAAGTTAGTCCCCACGCGTCTGAGTCCCTGTCCACATTCTGAGGTTGGTGACATACAATCGTCGTTAAGGGGCTGACTGGTCCCAGCCAGATGGGATCCTAATTTAATTAAAACCCTTTAATTACCTGCAACAACACAGCTCTGGAAGTCCAATGCAGAAGGGGGCATGTAATGGGAGGGGGATTGTTGACAGAGTAGGGGCTGCC